TTTTTTTTTTTTTTTTTTTTTTTTTTTTTTTTTTTTTTTTTTTTTTTTTTTTGCTACCCCCTCAAAGACAAGACAGGCGGCTCTTACCTATGACGTCGTGCATTGATGCCTTATCTCCGCAGCTGAGGTGGGCGCTGTCGAAGCTCACCATGACGAGGCCGCCGTTGAACGTCTGGAAAACAGAGAGACAAGAGATTGAGGTCTTAACAGGGGCGGCTTGAAACTAGCTTGAGATTAGAAGCCAGCGATACCGGGCACACCTGCGGAGAGGAGCTTTTACTCTTTTTATTATGCTGGTTTTTTTTGTTTTTTTTTTCTTGTGCTGGCTCTACCTGCTTTTATATCTCGCTGTTTTTTTTACAGACCGAGGGATGGTGCCTTTGTCGTTGTTTCCGAGAGGATGGCTTTTTTTTCAAGAGATACGAAGGAAATTGCAAAGGGCCCGCCTCGCTAAAATATTGCACTTTTTATCTGCCTCGTTACGTGGGCTTTGTGTTTGTATTTACTGGAAATGAGGAAGGAATCGGGTGCTTGGCAAGGAACGGCTGGACGGCGGGGGAGTGCTCGGCCGTTATTGCCGACTCCTGGGAGTAGCTTCCTGTCTTTTCTGTGGCTGGGTTTTACGGTTCTTTCTTTTGTTTCTCGTTTTTGTCAATTTGCGTGATCACGGCAGATGGAACGGCGCTGAAATTGAGACCGTTTTCACAGCCAAGAAAATGTGTAGGACAATATTAATCATCCCAGGTTTCATCGTCGTTCAATACCACACGTTCATTTTATTTTCATTACAGTCGCAAATTTTCAAACGAAGGAAAATTTCACGGTACCTACTTAATCATCAGTGGTAAAGTCAACGTTTGGTCAGCCGCATGCACAATCTACCTGTGCGTAAAATTAAACTGATAGTCAAACAGGGTACCATTATGGATAAAAATAACGCTTCAAACGTAAGTACGACACAAACCTACCGCATCGCAATAAGTGATATGACTCAATGTTAAGTCGGACATGTATCATTCAAGGAACAATACTTTGATATAAGAAAAAAAAAACCATTTTAATTACGTATAATGTCCTAAACACAAGTAAAACACGAGCTCGACTTTGTAGAGTTATAACTTAGTGTTCAGCCGGGCATATAATACCTACAGGGTATTTGTTCAATCTGACAACAAATACGACACTGATAGAAAAATAACTGTCTAGAATGTGAATCGAAATTTACGCACCACGATGATCAAGAAATAAATAAAATACGAGCGCGGTGAATAATAATTAGTAGTAAAGCTCAACGTATGGTCAGACTATGGAGCCTTTCAGTACGTGCAGTTGATCTAGAAACGAAGTAAGGTAACGTTAAGAAAAAAAAAAAAAAAAAAAAAAAAAAAAAAAAAAAAAAAAAAAAAAAAAAANGTTTTTGCAAACAACTCTGTCGCGCGTCGCGTTACCAGAGTTTGAAAACTGCGATGGTACTTCGCGAAACTATTGTCTTTGGAGTATGATATTTCGCTCGATGGTGTCTTTTTTTTTTTTTTTTTTTTTTTTTTTGGAGGGAAGGGTATAGTCGTGTGCGTTTAATTTGATCCTATTCGAGCCTAGACGGAGGAACGAAGGGTACTGCTGATGGCGAATGAATGGCTCGAGTGTCTTTTGTACTTTAGCCTAGAGACTACGAGAACGAGGGGGAAGAGTAAGAAGGAACGTCGGCGCAGACAATGGACTCCGAGTACTTTTTAACGAGTAGCGAGAAGTTAAAACAGACTCCTCCTCGACGTTATAATGAAGAAGAAGCGGCTCGGCAATCGGACAATTAGAATTCAAGCCCTCGCGGCGAGCGTCCCCTCGTATTCTAATTTTCATGCGTGTGCTCGTGTATAATGTCTCCCCCCTTTAACTTCCACTTGCTCTTGACAGAAGTTGCAAAAAGGTTGGATGGAAATTCAATTACTAATGCATTCAAACAGTGAATTTTTATTCGATTAATTTTATATTTAAAGTGACGTAATACGCCGACCACTCATTTATTTAAACAATAAACGTTGGTGGTGATTATAAAATAACCATCATATTTAGTAGCATGACTCGACATTCAGCTGGACGTATAGTTCAACTGAAAGCGAAGTGCAGTACTTTTAAGGAGAAATGTTTTTTGAAATGTAACAATGTTATCACAATCAGTAGTATAACTCAACGTTTGGTCAGGCGTATGGGTGTATCGGTAAATGTTATCGTTGATCTCGAAGAAAAGTACGGTACTGTTTGCCAAATACTTTTAGAAATGCAAAATAGTACCTAAATAGTGTATTTCAATAATAAATTAAATATCAGCACGCTATTTCATAATCAGTAGCACAGCTGTACGTTCGATCGGACGCACACACCCACACACTGACTTTATCGTTCAACTCAAAGTGAAATGAAATACCGTTTAAATAAAATATTTTTGGGATTATAAATTGAAACGTACGTATGATATTTGAAATTTAAATGAAACACGAGCGCTACATCGTAATCAGTAGTACAGCTCATCGTTGTGTCGGGCAAACCATTTTATGATGATTATCGTTAAACCTGAAGTGAATAAGTAGTACGGAACTATTGGAAAAAATATTTAAAAAAGTGTAAATCAACTTTAACAATAAAAAACATTGTCGTGCTCTAATAAGTAGTACAGATCAATATGCGGTAAGACGTACATACGAAATATGAATCCGAAGTTAAATGTGGTACTGGAAAAAAAACTTTCTGGATAGCAAATGAAAATCTATGTTTAAACATAAACAAAGCAAGCGCACCACTGTGTAATAAGTCATATAAGTAAATAAACCTTGCGATGTATTTTGTTGCACCCGCTCCGTGTGTATGTTTTTTTTGTTTTCCGATTAAATGCGCATGGAATTTTGTTTTCGACACTCTATGAATGGAAAATTTTACGCCGACTAAGAAACATTCTGCCCAAATTCCCACAAGGTGGTAATTTACGTAGATTAACTAATGAAATCTCTAAGAAAAAAAAAAAGGTAACCGTACCAAGGGAGTAAGTAATTAGTAAGTAATTAGGGAGTAAGTAAGTAATTAGGAAAAAAAATTAAAAAATGAGTACCAACCAGATTCCTGAGCACGTCGTCGGGTACATTGCTCGATGAGTTGCAGAGGGCTCGGGCGGCACTGTGCGAAAAAACGACCGGCGCCGTAGACACGGCCAAGGCGTCCCGCATCGTTCGCACCGAGACGTGCGACAAGTCGACCAGCATGCCGAGCCGGTTGAGCTCGCGGACCACCGCCTTGCCGAAACTCGTCAGTCCGTCGCTGTAGAATCCCAGGGTCACCAGGTCCTTGTCCGGGTCGTCCGCTATCGCCGAGTCGGCCCTGTGTTCAATGTTTTTCGGACCACGTGAGCTTATGGCTTATTTTTTTACGCTCTTTGCTGCTGAGTAATCGGATCAAGGAAACCTAACGCTCATCGACTGTATCGTCTACTATTGTTTTCAACTAATACGTGGTTTACGTTAATTTTGCAACAATTACTTTTACTCCAGATTGCGGTCGTCAAGTTAAAGAAAAGAAAGATCATTGCACTGACAACGTAGAATCAATCGAAGTTGAAAAAAAAAACTCCTCGACCAGCACTTCGTAAGCATATCCTACCGGTACATGCAAAAAAAAAAACAAAAACAAAAAACACGTGCACCTACGTGAAGAGGAAAGTGAAACAAAAAAAAATGAAGAAAAGAACGCGAACATTCAAAAAAGTCCCCCGATGCGCAGAGTATATACGCACGTACAAATACGTAGTGGTCCTTCTACAGGAGCAATACGGGAAACATTCCAGGATGTAGGCCGACGCCAGCGTTCCGCGCGACCGGGCTGTCGTGAAAAATAACACGAACCCATGCGCTCGCCCAAGACACGAACGCGATTCCATTGGCTTGGATGGAAAGTCGGCAGCGCGTCCCGGAAGGCCATTTAAATAAAATCGAGACCGTCCCTCTCTCCTTTTGGATCAATGCACCCTGGGTAATAAAACTTTTCTCGCGTATACCCTTCCGGGCAAAGGCGAAACGAGCATCCCTTTTATTAGCGGTGGGGCCCCTTTGTGTTATTCCTCCGCGTGCAACGGTGCTGGTGAAAAAAAAAAAAGATAGAAAGAACGTAGCGGTAGAAATTAGATTTTTACTCCCTGGGGTACATGTGTGTGTATGCTCTTTGCCCCAAACTAATTTAAACGTTTGCCTCGTGTGTGCGCCCAGCTGGTGTGGCAAGTGCTCTCGCGAGATTCGTTTCAAGGGCCATTTTGGCGGAGAGAACAATTTCGGGCCGAGTGTAGTAGTTGTTGTTCTTTTTTATTCCTTTCCTTCTTTCTTTTTTCGTTCGTCAGTGCGGGTGAAATTTCGCAACGCCGTGGCGTTGATGGCACAGAGCTTTTGCTTCCCTGGAGCCACTGGGTTCTTTCGAGCTGCGCGACCATCAATTTATTTTTTTTTTATTTATTTTTTTTTTGTTTCTTTCGTTTCTCTTTTGAAGGGTATCCTTGCGCATGACACGAAAATAACAAAATCGAGTCCCCGCTGTACCGTGCGTGGCTTGCTCGACGTCAATTACCGTTCGATTATTAACGGGCGGGTTAACGGGGTGGGAGTGAAAATTTCAGCGCTGTACATATAACACACACAAATATACACACATGTGCACGGTGGGCTAGTTTGCGAAATTGGTATTTTGGCTCGCGCACCTCGTGAAAATTGAATACCAAATTCGCCCTCCCACGATAAATACTCGACACTCGATGCTCCGTTTCCTCCGCCTTTGATGGTTACAGTTGGTCAGCGATTCCTTGATGTTCACGGGGAATCGATAAACCGATGGATGACTGTCCGATTTAGATTTTTAAAAATTATACTTGCCAACCCGGAAATCAATAATCAAAATCGTTTGTTCGATTCAGGCGCTGTGCGAAAGCCGAAAAATCCCCCGACGATCCGTGGAGTGTTAATGGGCAGCAAATTAATTCCAACAAATCGCTGTGGGGGCTTATCGTGCCCCTCCACTTCCCGAATCGAGATCAATTATTATTATGTTAGTCATTCCCAGACCCGGAGTGCATATGGCTTCATCCTAATATTAATGTGGCCCGTAAATCCAACATAACGCAATGAACACGCGCATCGTGGTCTTTGATTATTGATCAAACGACCATTTGAATCGTCGTTGTAACATACATGTATAAGTGAAGATTTTTTTTTTTTTTTTCCTAAGCTCGAATATTTTGTGTGATATAAATACACGAACGAGCGATAAAAGTAACGCAGAAACAGAGGGTGTTTACGTAGCTTTGAACGCCGATTAAATTTTTCGCTTAAACCTTTACGCAGATTTGCGCAAAAAAACATGCAGCGATCCAGATCTTTTTTTTTTTCGAGTGATTAAAAAAAAGCGCTTGTGTAATGTTTTTATCCGTTTGTGCCGTCGAAGCTTCGTAGGGAGGACGCGTGTGTTTGCCCTTTTTGGGTATCGACACCGAAGCCACGTTGTACTAATTAAAACGGGAAGAGATGAAGCAAAAAAAAAAAAAAAAAAAAAACGAGCCCCTCGCACCAGCGTCGAAACTTTTGCCCCTCTCCAGCCCCGCTTGTTTGTCTAGCCGACGTAAAATTGTCGCTTTACGTTTCGACGCGGAAGCGAAGTGGCGCGACTTACGGCTAAATTTCCCGTACAATCGCCTTGGGAGCGTAGAGAGGGAAAACACACCCGCACGGAACAGCGCAATAAGACGGGGTAAAAGAGATAAATTAATCCGCCGAAAGTATGAGTTGGCTCTCGGGCTTGTTTCCCCCTTACCATGCGATTGCTCGTTTTGTTTGTTTCGCCCGGAACTCGGGCTATTTATACTTTTGCCACTGGTACTCGAGGGCCAGAGCAAGTGCGTTGGCTATTTGATATTCCGTAAGGCTCGACATCCCCCCTACCGGCTCTTTTGTAGTGATTGCACGATGATTGCGTTTTATCTTTTTTCTTCTTCTTTTTGTTCGTTTGTCGCACAAAATAGGTGGGAATTAGGAAATGTACAACCCTCATTTCCTTTGCATTCACTGCGTGATCATGAGGTAAGTATGGTATTGCATACTATTACTATGAAAAGTAAATGATTACCGATGATAAAAAATGATATGTCATTTTCTACATTCTTTCAATCTGTTTGTTTATACTGTTCGGAAATGCTGATATATAAATGTGTGGACCAACAGAGCAATCCGGCAAAGACAGCCAGAGAACACTGAGAGAAAAATCTACTATACGGCAATTAGACGATGAAAAAAATTAAGCTGCCAAAAGTAAAAATTCGGAATGATACCAGATAACCTTTTTTTTCTCTCAGTGAACGTGTGCTAACTCAATTTATCCCAACGAAAGCGCATTAAACTTTGAATTTTTAGAGTGAAAAGAAAATCTCCGACATATTTTTTCGACGAAAAGCATTCAGCTCGATTTCTCTCGTGGAAAAGCTTCCAATTTTCACTTTTGCAAATAGGCACAATTTATTCTTCTGCAAAAAAAAAAAGGCAAGATCAAATCGTAATTTCCATGATTCTTTTGAAACTCCCATTAAATGCTACTAGAAATTTGCCACTAAGTAGGTATTTGTCATTCAAAAATAAAGTAGTTTATTCAATTCGATAAGAGGTACTGTTTTTTCAAGAATACGAATCACATACATTCGCAAAAACTGAATTTTTCGTCAGGAAAATTGGCAAAAGCCCAAGTAAAAGGTTCTTCGACAATAGAAATCGAGTTAGCATGTTTTCTCGCTGAACAAAATCATATTACCACGTTCTACATCGGAAGCAAGTAATTTAATACTCTACACGTCAAGTAAACTGCCAGTAAAACGTACGAACGTCCTCAACAAATAAAATATGCATTTGCAAACAATGAGCCAACGAAAAGGATATAGCCACGAAAGCAATTGTCATTCGTGCAAGCACTAGTGACTAAATCGGTTAATTTTCAATTTGAAGCATCAAATTGTTTTTCTTTTACTTCTGATAAGCAAACGAAACCACAACCGCGCAAATGAATGCAAAAAAAAAAAAAAAAAAAAAAAAAAAGAAAAAAAACTTGATCCAATAGCAATGAAAAGCCTTGCAACGACATTATTTGACAATCGAAAACTCCACCGTAGTTTTGATAAGAAAAACAGCTTCCCTACGCATGGGTGGCAATTCCTGGCATCAATCTCGATTTCCCTTGCATATAAATCCACGGAGCACATAAATATAAATTACGCACCCAAATAAGCCGGTACCGTAAACACGTGCGAGGCCAACCCAACAAAACCACAGAGACGCGTGTGGCAGGTAAACATAAACACGCCCACAACCAGCACACACCAGGTTGGGCAAAGTTAGCGAGCACGGAGGTATTAATACAAAACGATATCACCTTCGGTCCGGTTCGCTCAAAAGGTTAATTATTTGCCGAGTAACAACGAGCCATGCACGACAATTAAACTGCTCGTTAAGCATCGTGGTAGCAGTGAGAATAGGATCGCGGTTTATTCATGAACCCCCTCCCCGTTGCTCCGGGCCAATACCACACCCGCCTAAATCATGCAGCGCCCTGGTCATACACTTACAATACAAAGTGATTAATAACGCAATTTAACTTTAGACTTTAATCTTGGCTCTGCGTCCCGGATAAGCCGTGACCCCTACCGATACTCCTCGGGAAACTCGTACAAACGCGCTCCATGGATGTATCGTGAATTATTGTTGGAGACCGGCGCGGGTAGCTATATACGTTCGCCCGATCATGCGGAGGATGATACCAATGCGGGGATTACACTTTGTGTACATTTTGTTTCGTGTCGGCTAATCCGTGGAATAATATGACCTCGCGCTATGTACTCGGATTTTACCTCATTGCTTCTTTTCCGACAAGGGTTTATACGTAAGCCCCGCGAATCTCATTAGCCGGCTTGGCTTTTTTCATAATATTCGCTCATGAGATGGGTCTCCTTTAAAAAACGAAGCTCCTTTAACTCACCGAATCGATTCGACGAGAGGCGGAGGGAAAAACTAAACTGTGGACCAGCCGTGCGTGTGTAAGGAAGCGGAGAGAAATTCAGTCGGTGTACGAACGCAGTCAAATTTTTTCTCTCGCTCACCGGGATGATGTTTGAAAACACGCGCGTGTGTGTACGTGGGTGTGTCTCCCTTGGGGGCAAGTGGCTGCACCGGACTACGCGCACGGTAATCGAGCGTTTGAGCGCGTTAATTGCGAGTTTGAAAATAAAAAAGAGCCAGCAGCAGACACAACTGTGAGTCGTTAATGTTACTTTTTATGGAGAAAAAGACATAATTAAAAATGCGAAAATTAGCGCTCGTTTGCAGAAACTTTTCACGGGAGCTTGTCGCTTCGACCAACTTGCATATATTGCGCTTAAAACGCGAGAGAAAAAAGGTGGTCTGCTTATGAGGGGAGGGGGTTGGGAAAGCCTCGTCTTCGTTGTGGAGTGCATCAGTCGCATGCACGTTGAACCTCAATACGCTCGTGCGCGTATATGTTCACATCACACGCACATTTAGCCGAGAAATGGATGAAGTCGGCGGTGTGGACGAGGAAAAAAAAGCAAGTGGGGGGAAAAAGGAGGTTCAGAGGGTAGTCCCACGGCAGATTAGAGTCGGAATTTCCCCGTCTGTTTTCTTGAGAGCGGCAGAGGGTGGCCGGTAAGTCTTCGATTTTCTCTGTCTACCTGCTAAGCGGGACTTATCCATCTTCGCTCTTCCGTGTGTATCAACTCCATTTCCACGGATCATTAGTCTATTGGACTTTTGAGGTGAAAAAAGGTGAGTTCGAGGACAGGGCCATTTTTTTGTCGCCTTGCATACACGAAGGAAAAAAAAAAGACATCAAGAATCTTTACTTGTTTTATGTTTTAACTTAGTAGTGGAAATTAACGTAATTTATAACATGATTAAACATTTATTTTGAAAAATTACTTCAACGTCAATATTTATACTTTTGTTGAGACCGCAATTGCACTCTATGAAAATTTAATTACACGCTTTACTAATGAGAAAATTTATCTTAATTTTTCCTTCACATCTCCCTCCCCGTTATACAAATATTTTTCTGGATAACCTTTTCTTGATCTCAATGGAATTTTTTTTTTGTAACGCAGCTAAAAAATGAACAAACTCGTAACGAATCGTGCACCTCGAGCATTTTATATATATCTATGTCGGTTAAATATACAATATAACTTTCTTTTCGTACAAATAAGGTCGACTGGAGTTTGAAATTAAAATTCACCAACCGAAGCGGCGTCACTTTGAACTCCACGACCTTCTACCGATGATTTTTGTTTCTCCGCGACGTCGTCACCTTCTGTTAGTTTCGGGCTCTTTCTGTGACACGCTTTTTCCCTCTCAGGAGCGAGTAAAGTTTCTTCCCCGCGACCAGAGCCTGCTAAAACGGGGTGGGTGGGGAAAGACGGATTTCTTCTGGTGTTTGTCGAGCACGAAACGTCGTTTGGTGCTCTCTCTTTTTTTCGGAAGAGGAAGGGTTGTAGAGGCGATTTATGTTGCACACGTATAGCAAGGAGATTCGGCGTCCCTGCCCAAAAACCCGAGTGATTAATGAAAAATTTTTGCGATACCAAATGAAAAATACAAAGGACCGTTGCGTAATGAGTTCGGCGAGACGAGGCCGGAGTTAATTAAGATCGAGTCGAAACTTAAATGGAGGGCTGTGTGTTTGCTCGCGAAACTTGGGGTGTGTTTTTGAAAGGCCCTGAAGGATACATCCGCCGAGGCCAAGCGATCGATCTTTTAATCTCGCGATAGAGTATTAATTACTTATTTCTCACTTTTCTCCCTCCTTTTCTTCTCTAATTAAAAAAGTCGGTACGCCGAGGACTAATTGTATGAATAAAGCTAACTCTTTTCTGTTTTTTTTTTTTTTTTTTTTTCCCTTGGGTCTTACTTTAGCCATCGATCATGTAATTTTACTCTTCATCGAATGACTAAATAACGAAGCGAGCAATCTGTAAAAGATACAACTATCTTGATTCGTGATGCTAATCGGTAAGCTTGCGAAAACAATATTGATTAGTTCCCAGTTAACGAAGCAAAGCACAATGTTCTTTTTTTTTCCTTTAATTTTTATGAAAATCGATCCTATGACTACTCTTAGTTTTATTTATTTATTTGTATGAAAAATAATGATCTTTGGGAAACAGCAAAGTAAAAAGTGAATACAAGAGATTCTCATTAAAGCGAAAATTGGATTTTCAAAAAAAAATATATGTGTATTTGATTTTAGACGTAATTTGCATCAACTTGAGTCGCAAACTTCATCAAAGCGAGCCAAGTCCGTTTAAATTTAAGTTAAGCTAGTGGTTCGTACAAGCCAAAAATCAAAACGCTTAATCATCGTAGGGTTGGGGGGGGGGGTCGCAAGTTTCAAGTAGATCAGAGGCCTCTGCGGATCCATTAATTTCCCATACGAAAGGGGGGGGGGGGTGAACATGCACAATATACACACCAGACGGTAACTCTAGCACCATCGTGATTCCCCCCTGTCACCGAGCGAAGAGAGACACAAGCGTCGTCGAAACGAGCTCGACGCGACTGACGAAATGAATCTCGGCTAAGCGGTCCCATCCGTTCTCAAAACGCTCGCCCCGAGAGCCCGATCAAAATTGTTTTCTCCCCCCCCCTCCCTTTCAGTCCTATTGTCTCAAAAGGCGACGGACGAGCGAGAAAAAAAAAATTCGCAATCTCTTCCTTCCGTACGCCAAGGGACGGACACACGTACGGAGCACACAGTTCGGGGAACAATGGGAGGACACGTATCTCGGAAAAGCGCCAGGGAGGAAAAAAAGGGGCGGAAACGCAGGGTATACGTGTATAAATACACAGGGGACGCGAGTGCTGCTGAGAAGATTGGGAGCTTA